CTGATGCGGTTTGGAGACGGGCTGTTCGGTCGGAAGCTGGTGTCAAGAGGGGGGGCGCGTCGTGCAGCGTCCTCTTTGATCCGAGGAAGTTTTATGAGCGCATCTCCTTGTCTGCCTTGCAAGAGATATGCGTTCGACGCAAGCTTCCGCCTGCCATCGCTCGAGTTGCTCTCTTGGTCAATCGCAGCGGGCGTTTCCTTGGCCTGGGCGGCATCGTTGAAGGCCCCCTTTTCCGCTCTGAGTGGGGCGGTGGCGTGGCGCAGCTTCGCCGCCGCGTTTATCCGAGCACGCGGAATGGAGGACTGCGACAACATCATTCGCCAGCGCATCCTTGAGCTTGACGTCTACCCTTGCGATCTCGGCCTTTCCAGTGCTGCCCCCCCCCCCCCCCCGAGGGTCGTTGCCTCTGTTGTGAGCTGCGCGCGGCAGTTGATGGGTGTGGTGGAAGATGTATTGGGTTGTAGCTTCGCCATGGAAAAGACCCGCACAGTTGCCTCCTCTCGAACCGTGGGCGAGCAGGTGTCGCCCCAGTTGGCCGAGCTCTCGACCCATCCCGTTTCTTCGGCTGTCAATCTAGGCGTGGTCGGGCGCCAAGGACAGGAGGCAGGAGTGCCGAGCTCAAGTCTAGGCTTGCAGCTGCCTGTAGGCGCACCAAGCGCTCGCGCAGCCAAAATAAGGCGCTCAAGAGAAGCGCCGCCATCGAGGTTTTCTCGGCGGGCCCTCTTGCTGGCGCGAGCTACAGGAATGAGATCGCTGGGGCCTCAGACTACGACCTCCTCCTCCTTCGTCGTAAGCTTTTCAGCACTGTTCGACCGTTTTCGAAGCTTCGTTCGCTCGCCGCGCCGGCGGTTTTCGAATCAGATCCGCATTGGAGGACCGCCTGCCAGCCCATCATCAGGTGGTCGAACGAGACTTGACTCGCCCAGTCTGGAGCGCTCCCCTGGGCTATTGGTCTTCCTCAGCTCAGGCGTGCTTGGGCGGATGTTTCTAGCGAGATCTCCGGTTCGTGGCGCAGCGTGGCTGGCCCTCTCGCCGCCCTGCGCATGTCGCTTTCCAGGAATGGCTGGGTGGCGTCGGCTTTCATGACCATCAGAGACGACAGGGGCTTTGACATCCCCCACGGATTGTTCTCCACCGCCCTCGCCAACAACCTTTGCAGGGGGGCCCACTTTCGCGTGTTAGTGAATGATCCTGCTAGCAAGAGGGGTTAAGTACCGTCTGTGCTACGATATAAGCAAGGAAACCCTGTCGTGCAAGAAGTTCAGTGCCCTGGGGAGAGGTAGGATTCGAGCTTTCGCCACCGAAGCCTTTCTCACTAAGGGGCGTCCAATCCAGCTGGGCTACCAGATGGATGCAGGCTGCCAGTTCTGCGGGCAGCCAGACAACGCGTTTCGCAAGCTTTGGAAATGTCAGGCGGAGTGTGTTTTGTCCTTGCGCATTCTTTGGTCGTGCCAGAAGAAATTGCGGCGGCGCTCGAGGTTGAAGGAGGTGACCTTGCGTCACTTCTCCCTTTTATTTCGGGGGCTATCGCCCGTCCCGCCGACGTTTGCCCTGGGCCCTCGGCTGATGCGGATGGTGGTCCTGATGTCGCGTGGCGCGATGCCGATCAGGTCTCCCCTCTTGGAGGCCCCCTGGACAGGCAGCTCTGGGGTGACCTCTTCATAGACGGCTCGTGCACGAGACATCCCATTCGTGAATTAAGCAGGGCTGCGCCGTGCGTCGCGATGGTTGAGAGCGCTGGTAGGTGTGTTGCGGAATTCAGTGCCCCTGTCTGGGCCGCTTTATCCCCGGGCCCCTCAGAGTGCGGAGTTCTCGGCCAACGCGTGGGCCCGCGTGCTCAGCGCCCCCGGACGCGCGCGTGCGTGGTCGGACTGTCGCAATGTTGTTAAGCTTGCCAGCCTGCCGAAAGATGTTAACCTTTCGTTTGCCCGGCGTGCTGGAGCCCACCTCCAGTGCCACCTCCCTCTCTCCTTCCTGTGCAGAAAGTTGCTGCGCACAAGGGCATTGATGAGCAGGGCGTCTCCAGCGAAGAGGAGTGGCGCAGGCAGGGCAAATGCTGGGCAGGCCCAGGCGCGAAGCACGCCATTGGATTGCACGCCAGTTCGGCTGCTGCCAATGCGCACGCGGACCAACTCATCAGAGCGGCCCGCTGTACCTTGCGTCTCGCGGCCCGCCCCCTGCCATAGTGGGGCCCCATCGACCTGTCAGGGGTTGAATTGATTAGGGCCCCCTCTGCTGCCTCAGTTCCGTTGCCACGTGCATGGAGGCCGTGGTCTGGAGCGTGGAGGTGCGAGGTGTGTTTGAGGGGCGCCAGGCGGTTTTCAAGCCGATCAGCAGGGCGCTGAGGTGGAGGTGGTCCCCGCTCCCCCGGTCGAGCCTTCCCCCCCGTCCTCGGAGGTGGAGGATGCTCGTGAGAGGCGCCTGGCCGCTCTGGCCCAGCGCCTGCTCGCTGCTGCCCAGGCTGGCCCGTCTGTCTGCCCGCTTTAGGGGCTTGGCTAAACGCGGCGGACTGAGAGTGGAGCTCGATGCGTGTGGGCTCACTTGGTGGGTTCGATCTGGGGCTTTGTGCCGTCCTGTTTGACGGTGCTGGTTACGCTGCCAGCCCTGGAACCCGGGCCTTGGAATTCCGTCGAGCAGGCGTCGCCAGCCGTCCTTTTCACTGCCTAGTGCTGCCCTCGTCCCCCCTGTTGCACGGCCGCGGGGTGATGCCTCCCTCGCGGTGACCGCTGCTCAATGGGTCGTTCCTCCTGTCAGAGTGCGCGCCAGGGCACGGGGGAAGCAATTCTGTCCTCCCTGGCCGTTTGCCCTGCGTTGCGTTGTACCGTTTTAGCTTTGTCTTGGCGTGAATTGGGCTCACGTGGCAGGTTCGATCTGGGGTATTGCTGCGTCCTGCTCAGCGGTGCTGGTTACGCTGCCAGCCCTGGAACTCGGGCCTTGGAGCTCCGTCGCGCAAGCGTCGCTGGCCGTCCTTTTCACTACCTCGTGTTGCTCACACCCCGTTGTTGCACGGCCGTGGGGTGGTATCTCCCCCGCGGTGACCGCTGCTCAGGGGCCGCCCCCAGTGTCAAGAGAGCGCGTCAGGGCACGGGGGAAGCAACCGTCATCCCCGTCCGTTCGCCCTCTGAAGTGCTGGATAATCAGCCTATGGCTCTAGGCGTGTGATGGGCTCACGTGGCAGGTTCGGTCTGGGGGTTTGCTGCGTCCTGCTCGGCCGAGCTGGTTACGCAACCAACCCTGGAAGTCGGGCTTCCGAGTTTCGTCGTGCAGGCGCCGCTGGCCGTCCTTTTCACTGCCCAGTGCTGTCCTCGCCCCCCTTGTTGCACGGCCGTGGGGTGATATCTCCCCCGCGGTGACAACTGCTCAGGGGCCGCCAACCTTTTTTGTATAGGTTGCGCGTCGGGGCACGGGGGAGGAACTTGCCCTCCCCGACCGTATGCCCTGCTGCGGCTTTCAGCCCTCTTGAAGGCCATTCGGCTCACCAGGCCGCTCTTTTTTTGGCCCTGGTGCGTGCCGTGGCGGGCCTTTTTCCCCCCTGCAGGCTCTCCCCCCCCGCCGTAGGGGGCCGGGCTAAACGTGGCGGACAGAGCGTGGCGCTCAAAAAAAAACCATTCCAGGAATAACCAAAAATGTAGCTGCCCGGTCATTCTCCGAGCATCGATTCAGGCGGACCTAGGCCTGAAGAGCACCCCTCAAGAAAATGACACCCTCCGCCGGCCAACAGACAAGCAGGACATCCAAGGGCACCCCTCCCCCGGCTGCGCAAGGACATCCGGTAGACACGAAGGACATCCAAGGGCACCCTCCCCGAACCGACCTCGATCTAGTACCCCCGCCCGACTGGAAGCTCGAGGCACGAGCGAGAAACTTGCGAAGTCGAGGCCACGGCGCCTGCGCCTGCCCCACACATCGAGCGTGCTGCCGCGTGCGCTGGCCTTCGGAGAACAGGCCCGGCCTCCGCCCCGGCCTCCCGCGCGCCGCCCGCCTCCGCGCGCTCGCGCTCCCTCTCGTGGAGCAGGTGGGCGCGCTCCGCTGCTCGCAAGTGGCCTGGGTCCGCCGCGGGGGCTCTGCGATCCACTGTGTCGAGGCAGGGTGCCTGGCGCCCCGCGGGCAGCCCGCAGGCGGCTGCCCAGGCGGCTGTCCCCCGCCTGCGGGGCCTGGCCGGCGCCAAGGCTCGCATGAAGGGACCCACAAGCACATAAAGAAAGACACACTCATCTCAGGATTCCCCATCTTTTCGCATCTGTCCTGGGCTTCTGTCTCCCCCATCACTTCCCACATTCTCGCACATGTTCCTGAGAATCGACGATTCGTTGTGCCTGTGTTTTTTCCTTCCCGATCGCGTCGCCGCCCTCCGCCTCTTCCCTGGGCGGGCGGCGGCAGCGCCGCGGCTCGAGCCCGCGGCGGCCGAGCTGCCTGATAGGAGGCGGAGAGCGCAACGCTCGGCCTCTCGAGCGTCGGCTGCAGGCCGCTCCGGCCTCGCGGCGGCGCCGCGCCGAAGCGGCGCGGCGCGCCCATGGGGGCCGCGTCGGCGGCCGAGGCTGCTCGGCGGGCTGCCGAAACAGCGGGCGCCCGCGCTGCCGGGGCCGTCGCCGAGGCGCAGGCCGCGGAGCAGGCGCCCGCCGCGGTGCAGGCGGAGGTGGCTGCCGCAGGCGCGGTGGCGTGCCTGGCCGCCGGCGCTGGCATCCCGACGCCGCGGCGCTCGTCGAGATCAGCGGTGGCGGGCAGCGAACTGACGTGGTCGCAACTTCCGAAACTCCCAAACCTCCTCCTCTTCCTCCTCCTCCTCCTCCTGCTTCTCCTCCTCCTCCTCCTCCTCCTCCTCCTCTTCCTCCTCCTGCTCTCCTCCACCTCGTCCTCCTCGTACTCGCCTCGCCCATCACCCTTTTCTCTCCTCCCCTCCGGGAGGACACAATGGGAGGAGGAAGAGGAGTAATGGGAGGAGGACTGACGGGCGAGGCTGAGGGTGGAGCAGTGGGATGAGGGTGGAGCAGTGGGATGAGGGCACCGCAGTGGGATCAGGGCAAAGGGGGAGAGTGGGATGACAAGGGAACGCAGACCACAAGTCTGGAGAGAAAACCTACGGCTTCCTCAATATGCAATCCGCCGGCCACCCGCCCGGGCACCCAGGGGGCCTCAGGGTGGCACCGTGACGGTCTCAGGATGGCCTGAGGAGAACTCGCGACTGCCCTCGAGTCGCGAGACCATCAGGGAGGTGCTGGTGGCAGGGGCTCTCCTCCTCCTCTTCCTCCTCCTCCTTCTCCTCCTCCTCCTCCTCCTCCTCCTCTTCCCTCCTCCTCCTCCTCCTGCTGCTCCTCCTCCCCTCTCCCTCCTCCTCCTCCTCCTGCTTCCTCCTCCTCCCCCCACCTCCTCTCCCCCCACCTCCTCCTCCTCCTCCTCCTCCTCTCCTCCTCCTCCTCCTCCTCCTCCTCCTCCCTCCTCCTCCTCTTCCCCCTCCTCCTCCCCTCCTCCTCTCTCCTGCTCCTCCTCCTCCTTCTCCTCCTCCGCCCTCCTCCTCCTCCTCCTCTCCTCCGCCTCCTCCCCTCCTCCCCTCCTCGCCCCCCCTCCGCCCTCCGCCTCCGCCTCCGCCTCCTCCGCCTCCTCCTCCTCCTCCTCCTCCTCCTTCTCCTCCTCCTCCTCTTCCTCCCCTCCTCCTCCTCCTCCTCCTCCTCCTCCTCCTCCTCCTCCTCCTCCTCCTCCTCCTCCTCCTCTGGCCGCGCGCCTTCAGGGGCGCCAAGGACGCATTGGGGCAAGAGGCCATCTCGGCAGGGCGGATAGGGGGCGGCCCGCCCCTCGACGCTTCATGCCGGAAGGCTCGTGGAGAAGCCCGTCGTCTTCGAAGCCTTCGGGGACGACAGGCTTCTCGCAGGCTTCGAAGCCCTCGACGCCTGCGGCAGCCTTCGAAGACGACGGCCTGTTTTCTCGCAGTCTCTGACGTGCCTCGGGAGCATGCGCGTGGCCCTGCGCTGGCTCCTGCGGGGGGGGGGGGGGGGGGCAGGCCGAGGCCTCGCTGGAGGCGTGTCCCCCTACAGGCAGATTTTTTGGACGAGAAGTACAGCATACCCCAACAATGCTCAAACATGCTCAAACATAGTCAACCCAGACTATTGTTTGACTATTTTTTGAATATTCCTGCTGTAGAGGGACAGGCCCGACTTAACCCTAGATGCCACCAAGTGGCCCCTCGGTTGCCCCAACCTTGCACTCGAAACCGCCCCGACGTCCCCAGGACGTCCAACATGCCACCGGCAAGCCCACTGGGCCCCCAGCAGACCGCCAAGATGGGCCTCAGAAGGTCCGAAGCAGCACCAGGCCGACAGAGGATGCAACCCGCACGCTGGGCTGTATTCGCAGACCCCTGTGGGACACCACGGCAGGGACCAGTTTGATTTTTTTTCTTTTTGGGGGTCGCAGCGCTGGCGGACGCTCAGCGCGGTCGAAGCGGCAACCCGGGCAACGTAGCGCAGGTTGCCAGCTTGGATTCCTGCCCTTGCCATGTGCCCCCCCCGCTACAAATCCTTACGCAGTGGAAGCGCTGTGATTAGGAACCCTAGAAAGCATCCTTGTGCAATGGAAGCGCTGTCACCAGGAACCATAGGTAAGGAATTAGGCCCCTTGCACTCCATGTTTTGAGCTTCGATCTCCCACGGAAAGCCGAAGGAACAACTTAAGACAAACCGCAGAACAGTGAAGGAACACCGAGCCGCTCCACAACGAAAAAAGTGGAGGAGAAGGAGGAGGAGGAGGAGGGGGAGGAGGAGGAGGAGGAGGCGAGGAGGAGGCGGAGGAGGAGGAGGAGGGAGGAGGGAGGAGAGATGGGGAGGAGGATCAAAGACGGGTCTCCGCGCGGTACAGGAGGAGAGGAGGAGAGAGGAGGAGAAGGAGGGGGGAGGATGAGGAGGAGGGGGAGGAGGAGGAGGAGGGGAAGGAGGAGGAGGAGGAGGAGGAGGAGGAGGAGGGGGAGGAGAAGGAGGAGGAGGAGGAGACGGAACAGGAGGAGGAGGAGGAGGAGAGAGAGAGATACACTCCCGCGGACGCGGGTCGCCGCCTCGGCGGCCGCCGCGCCGAGCGCCCGCGGGTCGCAGGCACTCAGCACCATTTCGTCGCCCAGCGCCATGCGGAGGACGAACGCGTGAGGCAATCTGAGGGTGCCCCCAACTCCTGGACCAGTCCACGTGGATGACCCAGTGCGCGCAGTATGGATGCATCTGCACACTAGCTCGCGCCACGGCGTCGCACCGCGGCACCAGCGGCCCTGCCGCTGCCCTGCCGCCCTGCGGCCCGCCCCGCTGCCGCCCTGCCGCCATGCTTCCCCTTGCCCTTGCCCTTGAGCGCGAGCTCGCGGAAGCGGTCGAGCAGGAGCTGGAACTCCTCGGGGTCGTTCGGGATGTCGTCCCGCGTCAGGGTCAGGCCGAAGCTCGGGCTCAGGGCCGCGAGCTCATCACGGAGCGCCTCGGCTCTCTCCATGGTGTAGTCCTCGTACTCGTCGCTCTTGCCCAAGTCCTTGTCCTTGACCTTGCCCTTGCTCCGACCTGTGCTGTTCGGCGGGCGGCCCCGCTGCACGGGCAGCTCGTCCGCCCAGGCGTCGTCCAGCATCA